CTAGGTAATGATGATAGTGTTACAAGATACGAGCTAGATGGTGTTGAGATTCCGAAGTCGGATTGCGAAAAGGATCTGGGAGTTATCATTAGTAAGAATTTAAAACCAAAAAATCAATGCATGAATGTTCGTAATAAGGCAAATAGGACACTGGGATTTATTAATCGAAGCGTTAGTAACATGACACCTGGTGTTGTTCTTCAGCTATATCTTGCTCTGGTTAGGCCCCATTTAGATTATGCAGTTCAGTTTTGGTTGCCGTACTATAGAATGGATATAAATTCACTTGAACGCGTCCAGCTTAGGATAACAAAGTAAATTCCCCAAATTAGAAACCTTTCAATAAAGAAAGATTGACAAAGCTTAAATTACATTCTCTGGAAAGGCGAAGAATATTGGGTGACATGATAGAGGTGTACAAGTGGATGAATGGGCATAATGAAAGGGATATTAATTGGGTATTAAAAGTATCAACACAAGACATAACACAGAACAATGTGTATAAATTGGATAAGTTTAGATTTAGGAAAGACCTGGGTAAGCACTGAACTACAGGCCAGTGTCTTCAACTTGTGTATAATGCAAGGCGATGGAGAAGATTGTGACAAAGAATCAAGTAACAAATCTGGAGTGAAGGAACTTTGTGACAACCCATCAATATGGGATCAGGGAGGGTAAACCTTGCCTCACTGGCTTAATAGAATTCTACGATCAGGTAACAAAGGTTAAGCAAGAAAGAGAAGGTTGGGCAGACTGCATTTTCTTGGACTATCGGAAAGTCTTTGATACAGTACCCCATAAGAGGCTGTGGTGCATAAGTTGAAGAAACAGACAGGAGTAAGTGTTCCTGTGGATTTGGGAGTTCCTAAGCAATAGAAAGCAGAGAGTCACTGTGAGGGGTGAGACCTCAGATTGACATTGTCACCAGTGGAGTCCCACAGGGCTCTGTACTCGGACCTATCCTGTTTCTGATATACGTAAATGATCTCCCAGAGGGGTATAGACTCATTCCTCTCAATGTTTGTGACTGAAGGAATGGTCCAACAAATGGTTGTTAGAGTTTAACCCAAGCAAATGTAATGTAATGAAGATAGGTGTAGGGAGCAGGAGGCCAGATACAAGGTATCATTTGGGAGATGAAATTCTTCTAGAATCAGAAAGAGAGAGAAAGACCTGGGGGTTGATATCACGCCAGACCTGTCCCCTGAAGCCCATATCAAGAGGATAACATCAGCGGCATATGCCAGGTTGGCCAACATAAGAACGGCCTTTAGAAACTTGTGTAAGGAATCATTCAGAACCTTGTATACCACGTATGTCAGACCAATCCTGGAGTATGCAGCTCCAGCATGGAGTCCATATCTCGTCAAGCATAAAACTAAATTGGAGAAGGTTCAGAGGTTTGCCACCAGACTAGTGCCCGAACTGAGGGGCATGAACTATGAGGAGAGACTACGGGAATTAAACCTCACGTCGCTGGAAGACAGGAGAGTTAGGGGGGACATGATCACCACATACAAGATTCTCAAAGGAATTGATAGGGTAGACAAAGACAGTTTATTTAACACAAGGGGCACACGCACTAGGGGACACAGGTGGAAATTGAGTGCCCAAATGAGCCATAAAGACATTAGAAAGAATTTTTTTAGTGTCAGAGTAGTTAATAAATGGAATGCATTAGGAAGTGATGTGGTGGAGGCTGACTCCATACACAGTTTCAAGTGTAGATATGATAGAGCCCAGTAGGCTCAGGAACCTGTACACCAGTTGATTGACAGTTGAGAGGCGGGACCAAAGAGCCGAAGCTCAACCCCCGCAAGCACAACTAGGTGAGTACAGCCGAGTCAGGGGCGCTTGGTGGCTGAGTGGACAGCACGCTGGATACATAGTCCTTTGGAGCCGGAGATCGATCCCCGGCGATGGCGGAAACAAATGGGCAAATGAGTCTTTCATCCTGATGCCCCTGTTACCTAGCATTAAATAGGTACCTGGGAGTTAGAAAGCTGTTACGGGCTGCTTCCTGAGGGGGGTGTGTGTACTCACCTATTTGGACTCGCCTATTTTCGCCTGCAGGATCGAGCATTGACTCTTGGATCCCGCCTTTCCAACCATCGGTTGTTTACAACAATGACTCCGGTCCTATTTCCCTATCATATCTAGTTTTAAAATTATGAATAGAGTTTGCTTCCACAACCTGTTCCTTAAGTGCATTCCATTTTTCCACTACTCTCACGCTAAAAGAAAACTTCCTAACATCTCCGTGACTCATCTGAGTTTCCAGCTTCCACCATGAGTGAGTGGTGGAAGTGAGTCCTTGCATTCTGTTAGTATTCAGTGTGAACATTTCGTCTATTTCCACTCTGTCAATTCCCCTGAGTATTATATACGTTCCTATCATATCCCCCCTCTCCCTTTTTTTTCTAGTGTCGTAAGGCTCAGTTCCTTCAGGCGCTCTTCATACCCCATCCCTCGTAACGTTCGGACGAATCTCGTTGCAAACTTCTGAAATTTTTCCAGTTTCCTTATGTGTTTCTTCACGTGGGGACTCAATGATGGGGTGGCATACTCTTAAGACTGGTCTCATGTAGGCAGTGTAAAGTACCCTAAATGCCTCCTTACTTAGGTTTCTGCATGATGTTCTATGCTGCAATCGTTATCCTATTTATATGTGCCTCAGGAGTTAGATTTGGTGTTACGTCTACGCCCAGGTCTTAATCGAATCGTCACAGGTAGGCAGTTCCCCTTCATTGTGTACTGTCCCTTTGGTCTCCTGTCAACTTATCACATTTCCATAACTTTACATTTACTCGTGTTGAACTCCAGTAGCCATTTCTTAGACCATCTCTGCAACCTGTTCAAGTCCTCTTGGAGGAACCTACAATCCTCATCTGTCACAACTCTTCTCATCAACTTTGCGTCATCCGCGAACATTGACATGTAGGATTCTACTCCTGTAAACATGCCATTAACGTATATTAGAAATAAAATTGGTCCCAGCACCGATCCTTGAGGTACTCCACTCGTTACTGTTCGCCAGTCCGACTTCTCGCCCCCTTATCGTTACTCTTTGACTCCTTCCTGTTAGGTAGTTCTTTTCCTATGCTAGGGCCTTTCCGCTTATTCCCGCCTGCCTCTCAAGTTTGTATAGCAGTCTCATGTGCGGTACTGTATCAAAGGCTTTTTGGCAGTCCAGAAATATGCAGTCTGCCCAACCTTTCCTGTCCTGCCTTATCCTCGTTATTTTATCATAGAATTCCAAAAGATTTGTTAGACAAGATTTCCCTTTCCAGAACCCATGTTGATGTTTGCTTACAAACCAAATGCTCTCCAGGTGTGCAACAAGTCTTAGCCTAATTATTCTTGAAAGTATTTTACAGGGGATGCTTGTCAGTGATACAGGTCTATGGTTAAGTACCTCCTTCCTATCACCTTTCTTGAAAATCGGTACGACATTTGGCTTCTTAAAGCAATTGGGCAATTCTCCCGACATAAGTGACTCATTAAAGATCATTGCCAGAGGCACGCTGAGGGCCTGCGCTGCTTCTTTAATATCCACGGTGATACTGTCTGGTCAAACTACTTTAGTTGTATGCAGTGTTGTCAACTGTTTCATTACCTCTGCTGTCACCTCTAAATCTGATAGTCTTTCATCTAGGGTAATCTCTTCTAACAATGGGAGCTGCTCAGGCTCGGTTGTGAACACTCCATGGAAACTGGCATTCAGTGCCTCGCAGATTTCCTTGTCACTTTCTGTATATGCCCCTTTTGTTTTCCTTAATCTTGTCACTTGGTCGTTCACCGACATTTTTCTTCTTATATGGCTCTGTAGTAATTTTGGTTGCTTTTTCGCTTTTATTGCAATATCATTCTCATAATTTCTTTCCGATACTCCTCTTATGTTAATGTAATCGTTCCTATCTCTGCTACATCTAATCCTGTTGTGCTCTGTCGTTTGTCTTCTGTACTTTCTCCACTCCCGCCTGCTTCTCATTTTTTGCTTCCTGGCACTGTTTATTAAACCATGGGTTATTACACACAGAGATCACACTAACGTGATGCATCAAATGAACAAATCCACAAGGGCAGTGACGAGGGTTCGTCTGTGTGGGATGATGTAAGGGCGAAGAGGGAGAACGGCCTATTGACATAGCTCGGGTGCAGGGGAGGGTTGTGTAAAAGCCTGGGGCCAGATTCACGAAAGCACTTACGCAAGCACTCACGAACCTGTACATCTTTTCTCAATCTTAGGCGGCTTTGTTTCCAATTATTAAACAGTTAATGAGCTCCGAAGCACCAGTAGGCTGTTTATAACAATAACAACAGTTGATTGGGAAGTTTTTATGTTTGTAAACTGTTTAATAAATGTAACCAAAGCCGTCATAGATTGAGGAAAGATGTACACGTTCGTAAGTGCTTTCATGAATCTGGCCCCTGGTTTGTGCCTCGGAGAGGCTACGGGATCCAGTAAGTTCAGTAGAACTTCGGTTTCAACCCTTTTAATCCTGTCGTAGCTCAGTCGATTAATTAAGGCAGTGCCTGGGATGCTCGCAGACGCAGGTTCGAATCCTCGTCACTGCCCTTGTGGATTTGTTCCATGGGTTATTATATTCCCTCTTACTTTTTTCTTTATTGTTGGTATAAATCTCTCTTCGGCCTCCTGGCATTTCCGTGTGACTAGGTCTATCATATCTTGGACTGTTTTTCCTCTAATTTCTTCCTCCCACTGCACTTCTCCCAGATAGTCCCTTATCCTCCTGTAGTCAACTCTCCTTTCCCAGACCTCTTGTCCTTTGGTCACAAGTTTGAGTTCCATCATGTAGTCAAAGACTAGGACACAATGGTCACTGGCCCCTAGAGGTATTTCATGCTCCAAATTCTCGATGTCTTCTATGTTCTGGGTGAAAACCAGGTCTAATAGGCTCGGTGCATCTCCTCCTCTTTCCCTTGTGTCTTCCTTCACATGTTGTGTTCGGAAATTCCTGTCTATAACATCTACTAACTTTGCTCCCCACGTTCCTTCTCCGCCATCGGGATTCCTCGATTCTCAATTTATCTCTCCATGATTTAGGTCCTCCATGACCAGCAGTTTCGCTCTCATCCTATGACCTATTGTTGCTGCCTTCTACAGTTCACCTATACATGCCTTGTTGTCATCATACTCCTGCCTGAGTCTTCTACTGTTTGGTGGGGGATTGTAGATTACCAAGATCACAATCTTCCTCCCATCTGCTGTCAGAGTTCCAAGTATGGAGCTTGTGTTCTCATTGGTAACTCGATTTTCCAGGTCTTCAAACTTACATTTCCGCTTTATTAGGAGTGCCACTCCCCCTCCCTGTCTGTGTCCTCTCTTTTCTTATCACCTGGTACCCCTCTGGAAAGATTGCATCCGAAATCATGCCATTTATTTTAGTTTCCACTATTGCAACTATGTCAGGATCTGCCTCACTAACTCCAAACTTTGAAACTCTTCTTGGAAACTCTGGTACCAGAGTTCACCCTTTCTCTTGGGGTCTGGGGGGGTCTGGGAGGCGAATGGAGTCTGGAGGGGTGATCCTGGGGGGGGGTGAAGGGGTTTGGGCATCTAGGGGGGGGGGGTAGGAAGGGCATACTGGGTCTGACAATTAGGGAGGTTCTGAGAGGCATAAAGGGGTTGAGAGGTGACAGGTGTGTGTGTGTGCGCGCGCACGTGGGTATACTCGCCTAATTGTACTCCCCCAATTGTGCTTGCGGGGGTTGAGCTCTGGCTCTTTGGTCCCGCCTCTCAACCGTAAATCAACTGGTGTACAGGTTCCTGAGCCTATTGGGGTTTATTAAATCTACACTTGAAACTGTGTATGGAGTCAGCCTCCACCACATCACTGCCTAATGCATTCCATTTGTCAACCACTCTGACACTAAAAAAGTTCTTTCTAATATCTCTGTGGCTCATTTGGGCACTCAGTTTCCACCTGTGTCCCCTTGTGCGTGTTCCCCTTGTGTGTGTTCCCCTTGTGTTAAATAGACTGTCTTTATCTACCCTATCAATTCCCTTGAGAATCTTGAATGTGATGATCATGTCTCCCCTAACTCTTCTGTCTTCCAGCGAAGTGAGGTTTAATTCCCGTAGTCTCTCCTCGTAGCTCATACCTCTCAGCTCTGGTACTAGTCTGGTGGCAAACCTTTGAACCTTATCCACTTCAGTCTTATGCTTGACTAGATATGGACTCCATGCTGGGGCTGCATATTCCAAGATTGTTCTGACATATGTGATATACAAAGTTCTGAATGATTCCTTACACAAGTTTCTAAATGCCGTTCGTATGTTGGCCAGCCTAGCATATGCCGCTGATGTTATCCTCTTGATATGAGCTTCAAGGGACAGGTCTGGCGTGATATCAACCCCCAAGTCTTTCTCTCTGACTCTTGAAGTATTTCATCTCCCAAATGATACCTTGTAACTGGCCTCCTGCTCCCTACACCTATCTCCATTACATTACATTTGCTTGGGTTAAAGTCAAACAACCTTTTGTTCGACCATTCCTTCAGTTTGTCCAGGTCTACTTTAAGCGTCATTAGACATAGTGTGTGTGTGTGTGTGTGTGTGTGTGTGTAATTACCTAAGTGTTGTTAGGTAAATAAGGACTATATGCCTTATAGATGTACACAGCTCGGGGTATAAGGATGAAAATATACTTGATGGTCAGTAAGCCATTTTTGGAGGCCTTAATAACCCTCCCGAGGTTGATAGGCCATTCGCCCATCACCAGACCTGGAGCTTGTATACCGCTAAGTTCACCCGGTGTACTAGACACAGTCTGACCACAACTTGCCACTACCACCTTCTTCCAATCACCACTAACCCTCTCCCCCCCCTCCACTTCCCCCACCTGCCCCAGTCACCCTTTAAACCTTTACAAAGTACGCCCAATCCATCGACTCCCTTCCCCCCCCCCCTCCTCTTCCTTTTGCTCCCACCCTACTCAAAGCCACTCTTCCCTAACACCAGAACCTTTTCTTTTACCATCTCTTGCCAGGGGTGGCTCCTACACCCTCCCCCCCTGGCCCATCACCACCCCCCTGGCCCATCACCACCCCCTGGCCCATCACCACACCCTGGCCCATCACCACCCCCTGGCCCATCACCACCCCCTGGCCCATCACCACCCCCTGGCCCATCACCACCCCCTGGTCCATCACCACCCCCTGTCCCTTCACCACCCCCTGGCCCATCACCTCCCCCTGGCCCATCACCACCCGCTGGCCCATCACCACCCCCTGGCCAATCAACACCCCCTGGCCCATCACCACCCGCTGGCCCATCACCAACCCCCTGGCCCATCACCACCCCCTGGCCCATCACCACCCCCTGGCCCATCACCACCCCTGGCCCATCACCACCCGCTGGCCCATCACCACCCCCTGGCCCATCACCACCCCCTGGCCCATCACCACCCCCTGGCCCATCACCACCCCCTGGCCCATCACCACCCGCTGGCCCATCACCACCCGCTGGCCCATCACCACCCGCTGGCCCATCACCACCCCCTGGCCCATCACCACCCCCTGGCCCATCACCACCCCCTGGCCCATCACCACCCCCTGGCCCATCACCACCCCCTGGCCCATCACCACCCCCTGGCCCATCACCACCCCCTGGCCCATCACCACCCCCTGGCCCATCACCACCCCCTGGCCCATCACCACCCCCTGGCCCATCACCACCCCCTGGCCCATCACCACCCCCTGGTCCATCACCACCCCCTGGCCCATCACCACCCCCTGGCCCATCACCACCCCCTGGCCCATCACCACCCCCTGGCCCATCACCACCCCCTGGCCCATCACCACCCCCCTGGTCCATCACCACCCCCTGGTCCATCACCACCCCCTGGTCCATCACCACCCCTGGTCCATCACCACCCCCTGGTCCATCACCACCCCCTGGTCCATCACCACCCCCTGGTCCATCACCACCCCTGGTCCATCACCACCCCTGGTCCATCACCACCCCTGGTCCATCACCACCCCCTGGTCCATCACCACCCCCTGGCCCATCACCACCCCCTGGCCCATCACCACCCCCTGGCCCATCACCACCCCCTGGCCCATCACCACCCCTGGCCCATCACCACCCCCTGGCCCATCACCACCCCCTGGCCCATCACCACCCCCTGGCCCATCACCACCCCCTGGCCCATCACCACCCCCTGGCCCATCACCACCCCCTGGCCCATCACCACCCCCTGGCCCATCACCACCCCCTGGCCCATCACCACCCCCTGGCCCATCACCACCCCCTGGCCCATCACCACCCCCTGGCCCATCACCACCCCCTGGCCCATCACCATCACCCCTGGCCCATCACCACCCCCTGGCCCATCACCACCCCCTGGCCCATCACCACCCCCTGGCCCATCACCACCCCCTGGCCCATCACCACCCCCCTGGCCCATCACCACCCCCTGGCCCATCACCACCCCCTGGCCCATCACCACCCCCTGGCCCATCACCACCCCCTGGCCCATCACCACCCCCTGGCCCATCACCACCCCCTGGCCCATCACCACCCCCTGGCCCATCACCACCCCCTGGCCCATCACCACCCCCTGGCCCATCACCACCCCCTGGCCCATCACCACCCCCTGGCCCATCACCACCCCCTGGCCCATCACCACCCCCTGGCCCATCACCACCCCCTGGCCCATCACCACCCCCTGGTCCATCACCACCCCCTGGCCCATCACCACCCCCTGGTCCATCACCACCCCCTGGCCCATCACCACCCCCTGGCCCATCACCACCCCCTGGTCCATCACCACCCCCTGGCCCATCACCACCCCCTGGCCCATCACCACCCCCTGGCCCATCACCACCCCCTGGCCCATCACCACCCCCTGGCCCATCACCACCCCCTGGCCCATCACCACCCCTGGCCCATCACCACCCCCTGGCCCATCACCACCCCCTGGCCCCACCACCCCCTGGCCCATCACCACCCCCTGGCCCATCACCACCCCCTGGCCCATCACCACCCCCTGGCCCATCACCACCCCCTGGCCCATCACCACCCCCTGGCCCATCACCACCCCCTGGCCCATCACCACCCCCTGGCCCATCACCACCCCCTGGCCCATCACCACCCCCTGGCCCATCACCACCCCCTGGCCCATCACCACCCCCTGGCCCATCACCACCCCCTGGCCCATCACCACCCCCTGGCCCATCACCACCCCCTGGCCCATCACCACCCCCTGGCCCATCACCACCCCCTGGCCCATCACCACCCCCTGGCCCATCACCACCTCCTGGCCCATCACCACCCCCTGGCCCATCACCACCCCCTGGCCCATCACCACGCCCTGGCCCATCACCACCCCCTGGCCCATCACCACCCCCTGGCCCATCACAACAGCCTTCACAATTACACAGACTCTTACACAGACGAAGATTAATGTAAAGATTTACGCTCAGGTGTAGAAGCAGGTAAAGGTTCAGGTGTAGATGGAAGGGCAGGTGTGGGAACACCTGCAAGTGCCTTGCAGGTAATTAACTTGTTGTAATGACTTGTGAGGTAATTAGCTGCAGGAAGTCTTCAGGTGACCCTCAAAGTTGGTAACTATTTGTCATGTAATTACCAGACCAATATTACAGTGATTCCATATTTTTGTATCGTGGTCACCCGGCCACGTTGTGTGAGGGAGAGTGGCACTAATTAACCCCCTCACTGTAACAACCTGTGTGTGCTGTAACTGTTTTTAACATAGATTACATTGCATTCATTATCATGAACATTTAATTGTCAAAATTATATTGACAACAAATATACAGGGTGCCACATAAGTCTGGAACTATCACCCTCTATACGGGGGGGGGGACCATAAGTGTAGAGCACACCTTACAGGGTGTCCCATAAGTGTAGAATAGAACACACCTTACAGGGTGTCCCATAAGTGTAGAACACGCCTTACAGGGGTGTCCCATAAGTGTAGAACACGCCTTACAGGGGTGTCCCATAAGTGTAGAACACGACTTACAGGGGTGTCCCTTAA